GTCGTGCAAATATAATCCGGTTTACAAGTCCGGAGTCGAATCCCACAAAGAACTAAGGCTTAGCTACATCTTTTCAATATTGCTAAGAAGACAAGCTTGAATAATTCCTAACTTATAGATATTAATATTTTTGTGTTTAACTAATTAACTAACAAATTAAAATAGTAAATTATCAACTAAAGATACTAGGGGTTGGAGACAAGATTAAGGAGGTCTAGAGTTATGATTTCCCCTATTGTCGGAATCCTTCCCACTACGTTTTCTATAAATTCGCCTAAGTATTCTCTACCGATCATGAGCGCTCTGACTGTCGTAACTCTCTCCCGAGTAATTATCACAATTTACCAGACATATTCTCCCGAATTACGCTAGCTGACATTAAGTACGGCTCACTCGGATCGCACCCAAGGTTTCCTTATCCCTAATCCCACCTTTAAACCTTCCGTATTGATCCCTCATATACGTTAGGAGTGATGTTGTTCAACAACTACCTAAATATGCACTCTCTCCCGTGTAATACACACTAAATAGGCACAGTCGATTGAGAGCTCTTCAACCAACCACAATAATAACGTAGTTGAACAAATAGAGAAAGGAAATCTATATTAGCATAACAAGAAAATCATCCTTCAATAGGTTCCATCAAAACCCTAGATAACAAATTAGCTATTCATAATAGTATGTAAAACTACAATACTAGAATTCATAACCAATAATAAAAATAGGAAGAAAGAAGTGAAAAACTCGTAGAAGAATCCCCCGCCTTGCTCCTAGAGTGTTCTAGCCTCCTTAGGTCGAATCTCTCGTCTCCTTAGCCTCCTTATGTCTAAATTATGTCAAAAGTATGTCAAAAGGTCCTCAAAATACCGTTTTTTCATGTATATATACCAAGTAGGTTGGGCACGAACAATTACACCTTCTCCTACGCGAAAAAGGACACTTTTACCGGAAAGGACGTGCGCGGCCGCGGTTGGACCGCGTATATCCACTTTGATTCTGCCTAACGAGCGCGGCCGTGCACTTGACGCGCACTTTTCACCCTGTTCTGTTGGGAATTTTAAAAGACGTAAAACATGAAAGTTGTATCTCTTTGAGTTAGCTTTCCAACTATAAATTGTGGGGCCCAAATGGAGTTCTGAGCGAAAAGTTATGTGTATTTTACTAACACTGCGCATTATGCTTCCTCGATTCTTTTTTTCGTTATAAACTATCATCCCTTGATCCCCGAACTCGATCCCGTCTTAATTCCTTAGGCTTTTACTTAGACTTCAAAGCTCCAAATTGCTTGAATTCATTCCATAACATTTACATAGCTCGAAATCACTCCTACAAGGCATAAAACACACCATTAGTGCAAAACACTAGCGATTAAAGCTCAAACTCAATTAAAGTGCAGTAAATTGGAATGTAATAATCGACTAAAATACGTAATTATAGCCTATCATCAGGCGTGATAGAATTTGTAGACAATAAACTGCGTCGAGAAAATAAAATCAAGATCGGAAAATATCGCAACAATTGTAGTATTTGATTTCGAATATTTGAGTGTACAATCTCTATAAATCCTTTGATTCTTCTTTTCAGTAGTAAATAAATTCAAGGTCCTTCGAGCTTGATCTTGAATATGTAGTTGTTGCCACGAATGATGATCTTGAATTCGACTAGTACGAACTTTGATTTGAAATCGTATTTCTTGAACCTTGATTTGTTCTTCGTTCTTGAGCTTGAACTTGATTTGTTCTTCGTTCTTGAGCTTGAACTTGAACTGGATTGCTTGAAGCTTGAAAATTATGGAGGAATCCCCTTGTTTGATCCATGAGCTCTTTCTTGATTTTTGTTATAACTTCTGGTGTCTTTTTTGAGTTATGAAGATCCCTATTTATAGTTGTAGGAGGGAAGAGTTATGATAAGAACAAACTCTTTCCGACCAATTAAATCAAAGTGTGACAAGGCCGCACTTGATTGGCCAAAACATGTCACTTGCACACGTGGCGCGATTTCATTAGCCTTTTAATGTGACTTGGCATGCCTTGTCATTTTGACACGTGGCATGATCCTATTGGCTCTTCAGCTTGACTTGACGTGCCACGTCATATGACATGTTGCACCAAACTGGGCCTCTAGGAAGACTGACATCTTGGGCTTAATGAAGTGGGCTCATCACTTTAGCCTAATTAAATAGACTAGCCTAATGGATTAAGACTTATTTATTTAATCCATATATATTGGACTTACAATCCAATTATATTAGCCCAATAAATTTATTTGAACAAGTATATCTTGAATTTAAAAATATAGTCTAAATAATTTTATAGATTTAAATCCAATAAAATTTAGATGCCTGCAATATTGACTTGTAAAAATTTATGCTTTTACAATTTTGACTTACTTACATGTCATCATATATGTTAGAAATATTAATAAATTTACAAAATTTTAGGTTTGAAGTTAGATTGTAAAATTCCTTATTAAAAAAAAGGAATGAAAAAGATGGACTAACCCCTTCTAACCCGTGACTCTATGAGGACTAGGTTGGGCTCACTTTGGACTAGGTTGGGCCGACTAATTTAAGACTCTTTTTGAAAGTGGGACCGACCCGTTCTAGCCCATCAAATCATGGCCCATAAGATCTAGGATGAGCTGATTTGAGTTAGTCCATTTTGATAGCTCCACTTGTACTATACTCCAACATAAAATAGGAGAATTCAAAAATAGCCAGATTTATAAGTGGTAATTGAAAAATAGCCACAATTTCAGAAGTAATCGAAATTTAGCCACTTTTTATGTAAAAGATAAATCTGAACAAAAATACTGTTCAAAATCCGTAAAATATTCCGGCATAATAGCTATAATATGCTGGAGTTCGAATTTTTTACATGTGAACTTCTAGCATAACATGCTGGAGTTCCAACATAATATGCTGGAAGTCCATACACAGATGCTCCAATCTCTAGTATATTATGCTAGAACTTTTCGTATGCTGGAGTTCCAACATAATATGATGGAAGTTCATACACAAGTGCTCAAATCTCCAATATATTATGCTGGAACTTTCCGTGTGCTGGAGTTCCAACATAATATGCTCAAAGTTCATACACAGGTGCTCCAATCTCCATTATATTATGCTGGAACTTTCCGTGTGCTGGAGTTCCAACATAATATGCTGAAAGTTATACACATGTGCTCCTGTCTCCAGTATATTATGCTAGAACTTTCCGTGTTGCAGCAAAATAATGGTTATTTTTCAATGACTTTGCAAACGCTGGCTATTTTTCAATTACCAGTCCGAAAACTGACTAGCTTGTACTATTATATGATATAAAATGGATAGACTTCAATTGTCCATATTTAAAAAGTATATATATCAAATTATCCCGTAACTTTAATTATAATTTAAAATTACAATTAGATAAAAAGCTCTAGTATGGGTCAAGGGTAAAAATAATCTATCTATAATTAAAAGCAGAAGACAAAAGACCCTCGTGAAACCAAATGTCAAAATCAGAAAAAGACACGTGGAACATTAAGACATTGTTCCAAATTTTTAGGAAGTAGAAAAAGAAATTATAATTTTATTTTTATTAGGAAGAATAGAATTTTTTTTATTAAAAATCAAAACCGTTCAAAACCCTTCCTAACCGTGACTTTTAAACTACCGTTCCAACTTCTCCTTAATTTTTTGATTTTTTAATTTCTTTAAATGATTAAATTATTTTATTTCTTAAAATTTGACGGCTTACTCAAATATAGGAATAGCCTTCAAAACCCTTCCCTTCAAAACCGTTCGATCTTCTCTTCAACTTACCCTAAATTTTTTCTGCAAAAGCACGATAGCTTCAACTGACTTTCCCACGATTTTGATTGCTTCAACTGTGTAACCCACGATTTTGTATACTGGGTAGCAACTATTCAAAAGTGGAAATATATATTTCTTCCACAACTACACGATCTTCAATCCTAATGTTCCTTCTTCTATAAAGATTTCAAGAAAACTTACGTCCTATGCAAAAGATGGCTACTCACATTGATTTCATCAAGGATATAACAATTTCGTAGATGCAATGGAAGTTAAAAGTTCGTGTTGTCCGTTTGTGGGAAGTACCGAATCGTTTTAATCCAGGCACTATATTCTCGATTGAATTGGTTCTACAAGATGAAAAGGTATTTTAACTATGTTGTTACCTTGCTAATTCGGTTTGGTTTTCGGAATTGTTATTTCATTATACATAGATTTGTTTTTCTCCTCGAAATTGTTATATGATTATATCATACTATATGAGAGATGCACTTATAGATGCTATAGACAAAATTATACTATATGATTGGGAAGCATTATCAATTTTAGTAGATTCACTTGGACAACTTTTAGGTAGTATTTTAACTGACATTTATCACGAGGTGTGGCCAAGTGAATCTTTTTGGGTTTATGTCCTTAAATTTGAAGCAGAGTGGGAGAACCGTCTCTATGACTACCTGTAATTTATTTAATTAATGAAAGTTTTTTATTTCTTTGCAACATTACCTGTCATTTAATTATTTTTTTTTTCTTAAGAGCATTAGATAAGATAAATAACATAATGGAATAACGCAAACTTATTCCTTCAAATAATGCAACTTTAATGACATATCCAATGTCTTAGAAGAGGAATAACATGAATACACACATTACTTTACGCTCTTTGCTTGGTTATATGTAATTCTGATGTATAGTAATACTTTACAATTGTTTTGCCTCTTTTCCAATCAAAAATTAATGAGGAATCTATATTAATGAGGATTTAAAGATTAATGAGGAATCGATCAAATGGTTTAAATTTTACGATTGATCAAGTTATAAATATATGAGGTGGTTAAGCAACTAAGTTAATAATTTATTATATTTTTTTCTTCGTATTTTTCGCGCATCGCGTGGGTACTATACTAGTATTTCTTTAAAGCCGCGTAAGAGTAGACAAAAAAATTTGCAGACAAAAGTGCTCAATTTTGAAAAATAGAGTGGCAAATTTGACACTTTTCCCCTAAACTTTAGTCGAGAAAAAACTGCCCACAAAATAACCCAAATCTAACCAACCTAAAAAGAACCGTAGAAATTGGGAGAAATTCCCCTTAAACCCTAAAACTCAGTCAAGTTCGGGTCCTAAAACGGGTCTGTGTATTCGGTCCTATAAGTCCCTTCGAAAATCCCGCACTCAAATCTCTAGAATCTATTTTTCGATTTGCATTGGCTGTCAGCTCTGATTCGGGTTTCTATTTTGACCCGTTAGTGGAACAGTGAGTCTTGTCCACTCTAACCAATTGAAGTATCAGTTAGTAAAGGAGCTGATTTATTGAGTATTTTGGTCACAAGCAGATTTCGGCCAATGAGGTAAATGCTAGATTTGCTTTAAATCTATGTATTGCTGAATTAGAGGAATTTGTGTGTTAGGGTAGGAATTTTTTATGTTAATGGTGTTACACTTTGTTTGGATCATTGTTCCCGTCGTTTTATAATGTATTGTATTGTATTGTATGGTATTGTATCGTATCGTTTTATGAAGATAATGTATTGGATAGATTGTATTGTTTGTTATTGTTAAATAATATTTTGCTGTTTGGTTTGATTGTATCGTATTGTACTCTAACTTATAAGTTTACTAAAATACCCTCAACTGTTTAAATATTAAATTTATCAAAAAATATGCATAAAAATAATTTTAAAAAGCAAAACAGAAGAAGGCAAACCACCTTAAAAAAGCAGAACAAAGGAGCGAGACAGAAGAAGGCAAAACAAAGGAGCACAACTAATTAGAATTAAGTTAAAAGCAAATTAGGAGAAAAAATAAAAGAGAAGGCGGCCTTTAACGTTGGTGGCAAAAGTTTTGGAAAAATACGAAGTAGGTTATAGGTTGAAGATTTGGAGTTAAAATAGAAAAAAAGGTAAAGGGTAAAATAGAATTGTGGAGTAATAAGTTAGGGCATAATTGGAAAGAATATTAGGAAACAATACCACCACACCAAATCGGTTGTTTAAAAAAAATGGGACTTTTCATTGTTCCGTAACAATGGATTTAACAATACAATACAACCAATTTTAATGGAACAATCAAAACAAACATTGTTTTTGGAATAATAATACAATACGATACAATGGGGAACAACCATCCAAACAAGCTGTTAATGGATAATGAGTCAACGCCTCTGACCTTCTCCACTTATAACGGGCTTCCCGTGGCATGTTCCGTTTCTTCATCTTGTTCTTCCTTTTTGTTTCTTATCGTGTGTTTTGTGATTTTGTTCATTAACTAATTTTATCTAAAAATTGCTAAGTTTTGATTGTTCCCCACTATCCCAAGGGATTTCTCAGTTAGTTAAAAAATATGACAAAAAGGAATAATGGAAATAAAACGGAGCGAATTATTGAACCCAGTGTGTAATGCGTGTTAGGCGCACGTTGTGGGTTCGTACCTGCCACAGACAAAAGCCTGGTCTTTAAGGTGGTGGTGGTGGTGGTGGTGGTGGTGTGGGGGGGGGGGGTCCATTTTCACAACTTTTTGCAGCTGGCCCTGGGATAAGATCCGGCTCAAGAACATGCGGGGCCTAGAGCCAAAGTTTAATATGAGGCCTAAATTTTTATAAAGAAGTTATAAGATTGTTTTTATTTGAAGTCTATTCTTCTAACTTTTTAAGATACAAAATTGTTAATAATCTTTTTTATAATGGATTTTTTTTAATAATTCCTTTTCAATAGCCAATTCATCATTTAATCTTTCTTGAGAAATTGTTGATCTTAGATAAGATTTTATAGAGCAATAGAAGTATAGAACTATTGGAAGCTTAAAATTATTGTTGAACACTTGAACTAATGAAATCTTGGAGAAAGAAGGCAAGTAAGAATATCAAAGAGAAAGACAGAAAATATGTAGGGGTTTCTGAAATATGAAGAGATTGGAAATAAGAAAGATTGACTTGGAGAAATTAAGGAAGAGAGAAACTTTTTTACACGTTATCTGATGAAGGAGTAAAAAGTGACAAATTGAAATGTTAGGAAAGCTATTCATCTATCCATTTTTAAGTAAGTTAAGTTATTACTTTATTTATATATCTAAAAAAATTCTTTCTTTTTATATTAAAAACTCTACTTTTATATTAAAAGTACTAAATATATTTTTTAAATACCTATAAACCTATTATTTTAGAAAATGGGGCCCCTAAATTTGGGGGCCTAAGGCACAAGCCTTACCTTCCATAACATCGGAGCTGGCCCTGCCTGTGATTGATCAGTTATTAAAAAAAGGAAGAAAAGGAATAATGGAAAGCGAATTAAAAGGAATAAATATTCTCAAGTGGATTGTATATTCATTGTTTTAGTTTTTCTAGCAAAAATAAAAGACTCCACTTAGGATTGAGCTTTAATATCATTGTCTACATGTTTCAAAGATTAATATCGGTAAATCTATTGTCACATCTTTAATGCAGTCCAGATGAGGGGATTGATTTTTCTCGCTGCAGTCTCAATAATCAAAACTTTAACATTACCTTACCACACGAAGAGCGGACCGCAGAGAAGGTAGAGAGACGCCTGCCAGAGGAACCAAAACCGGTAGATAGCCCGGAGACACCACCTCAGTTCTTCAAAGTTATCCTATCTCCCCATGCCTCTAAATTAGTAAGTTCTGGAAATTGGTTTATGATGCGGCATTTTCATCTTATATCTTTTGTTTCTGTTTCTAGTTGTATGGCTTTTGTTCTCTTCATTTGTTCTTTGGTAGTGTTTTCTCTTTTTTAAGTTTGTGTAGATTTTTAAGTTTTTGAATTCCCCTTTTGGTTTGTAACAAATAGTTTCTTGTCATAAGTAGGAGTATTTCGTCTAAAGCAATGTTGATAGTATGGAAGGTGGTGGGAATTGTCCGCTTTTTCTCCTGTAATTTTATGATCCATTTGAATTCCAACTTTATTTTCGGAAACTTAAATAGGACCAATACATTGGTTTACAGTTGTACTACTGGAGTGTGTCTACTTTTCTGGTGCTGTCATTTTCTGTAATGAAATGACACCGAACTTAGGGAGTGAAAAATGTGATTTCAAATGGCATTAGAGGGAGATGTGGTAAGGAGCTTTCTTTTGATTATGAATTTGTTATGAATAACAAGAGGGGGG